AGGTGTTGATGTTGAGAATGATGTAGGCATTAAAGCATGTTGATTAATTTATGATTAGAAGAGAGAATGTTGTTTTTGAAAGTTGAAATATTTGATAGTATGGATATTGATATGGAGCTTTGGGAGGCCATTTGTTGAATTGAATAGGTGTGAAACTTTTGGAGTGGATTAATGAGTCTTCTTTAGGTCCTTAGTCAATGTTGGAGTAATGTATAAAGTTGAGGGCTATAGCCCTTAACTGATTGCTAGAAAGGTTACGTGGTACCTCGAGGATAATTAGCGGGTAATTCCACAAGTGATTTGGTAATGCATTCTAAGGTTATGGTACGTCCATACCCAACTATACTAGTCCTAATAGTGAAACTAAACTTTTCTTGTTTAATTGGCAACAAGAAAGAAATTAGAGGATAAGGATTCGTATCCCAATTTAGCTATCGATCTAGTAGACACATGAGGTTTGAAAATGATTAGATTGATTCAGTAAGATCAAGTCATTTAGACTGCTAAGGTACTATAGGAGATCTTCATAGGTAAATATGTGACGACACATTAGTTAAAGTGTATGCATATGATGTGGTGTAGATGATATTGGTCATAGCTTGTTGATTGTATGATGGGTTAGTGAGGTTGTGATGCATATGGGTGTGTTGATTATTCTATGATGTGAAACATGAGGTGTTGCTTGATTGATTTACATGTTGGTAATTAGTACATATGTTTATTCCCATTGTTAGAATAGTGGATTAAGCCTAACTCAACCCTACAAAACCGGCTTGTAAGGTGAGGGTTGCTTTCCACTTATATATTATTCAACTGTCTAATCTCTAGTCGATGTGGGACTTGGGTTTTTCCCAATACACCCCCTCACGTCCATCACTATTGGGCTTGGTACGTGGATAAATGGTGGGTGACCCTTTTTAATGATCTAGGATTGGCGGGATTTGGGTTTTTCCCAATACACCCCCTCATGCCTATGAGGCATGCATCAATGGTGGGTGGCCCATTTTTAAAGTGGATCTAAATGGCTCTGATACCATGTTAGAATAGTGGATTAAGCCTAACTCAACCCTACAAAACCGGCTTGTAAGGTGAGAGTTGCTTTCCACTTATATAATATTCAACTGCCTAATCTCTAGTCGATGTGGGACTTGGGTTTTTCCCAATACCCATACTTGTTTGTTTTTAAATCTAGCTCACACTTTCATGTTTTCTTGGTGATTGGACTACGATGATCATGATTTTCATGGGAGTGGGGCAAGTTAGCTAGAGGCTAGCAAGACTTGGTGGAACCATGCTAGTGTAGCTCATGGCTACTTTTGGAGGGTCTTGTATAGACCTTGCTTAATTGACAACTTTAAATTTTTATTTTCATAGTTTATGGATTACTATACATGTGTGTGTGTATATATATATATGTTTTGTATAGTTGATCTGTTGGTTTACATACATATATATATATATATATACATTTGTAGATATATTTAGGTTATGTGAATATATTAATTCCAGTGTTTGAGTAGTTTCCACTACAAGTGGTAGTTGATACGTAAGTGAAATGGTTAGGGCTGGTCATCACAGTGAAAAATTTTCATTTGTAATAAAAATGTATCTTATAATTACTTAAGAGGGTTAAAAGACTAAAATGTTAAGAAAATAGATATAAATAAATTGATTTATTTTTTAAGGAAGTTATAGATGGTAAAACAATCTCATTAAAAATGAAGATCAAAAGTAATTGGAGGTAAAAATATCCCTTTATATATTATAAATATAAAAAAATATGAATTTAGAAGAAATTGTGTACCAATTATAGAAAAGACGATAAGAAAAAAAACCCGCATTATTTTCATTTATAATTATTTAAAAAGGTTAAAAGACTAAAACATAAAAAATAAAAAAAATAAATTGATTTATTTTTTAAAAAAGTTGTGAAGGATAAAATAATTTCATTAAAAATAAATAAAATGAGAGAAAGTATATCTATGTTGTTATATGTAAGAACCGATTTGATAAAAAAAAAATTGTATCTCTTTATAAAAAATAAAAAAAATAAAAAACTGAAGAAGACAATCAACATACTTCTTTTTCTTTATTTATTCTCTTTTGCGATTGATACAGAAGCAGAATTGTTTTTGTCGGTGTTTGCGATATCAGCGAAAAATGTTTTCAACCACTTTTTATTTATTTTGTCATTCTTCTTGAGTCTCATTTACTAATCTACCCTTTCTGTTTAGAAACTTGTTTCAACAATTTTTTTTCTAAACATTTTTCAAATAAAAAAAGGAAATACATTTTTTCTTTAAATTAAAATTAGTTTTCTATAAATTAAGAATTAGCTTTTAAATAAGTTTAATGCGAGGACTTTTATAAATTACTTCATACGTAAAACTAAATATAGTTTTTAAGTAATTTATTTTATTTTCAATTTTTCTTGTAAAAATGTATTTAAATAGATCCTTAAATCACTTTTCTAAATAGTACTTGATGATTGATGAACCAATATTTTTTAAAATGTAAATCGCTTTTATAGTTTTTAATATCTTTTTCGTAAATAATTTTTAAATGTATACTTTTAAAATTTACATATTTTCATGTACCACATGTTTGTTTTTGTGAAAAAAAAGGAAAAAAGTCGAAAGAAATATAAAAGAGAGAAATTTGATAGAAATATCATTTTCTACTGTTTGTGTGAGAACAAATATACAAGAAGGGAAGAAGAAAAATATATGTTTCGAAATAACTAGAAAACTAGTTCTGAATTTGCATGAAATGAAAGGAAGATTAGGGATAGGAAATATACCCGTACCCGCGAGTAATACTCGAACCCGTCCTGACTTTGACAGGGAATACCTGGTTTGACCGGATACAGGTACGGGTACGGGTAAAACTCGATATATTAAATTGGGTACGGGTACGGGTATGGGTATGTACTTACCTGTCCCGTACCTGTACCCGTACCCAAAAATGTATCTTATAATTACTTAAGAGGGTTAAAAGACTAAAATGTTAAGAAAATAGATATAAATAAATTGATTTATTTTTTAAGGAAGTTATAGATGGTAAAACAATCTCATTAAAAATGAAGATCAAAAGTAATTGGAGGTAAAAATATCCCTTTATATATTATAAATATAAAAAAATATGAATTTAGAAGAAATTGTGTACCAATTATAGAAAAGACGATAAGAAAAAAAACCCGCATTATTTTCATTTATAATTATTTAAAAAGGTTAAAAGACTAAAACATAAAAAATAAAAAAAATAAATTGATTTATTTTTTAAAAAAGTTGTGAAGGATAAAATAATTTCATTAAAAATAAATAAAATGAGAGAAAGTATATCTATGTTGTTATATGTAAGAACCGATTTGATAAAAAAAAAATTGTATCTCTTTATAAAAAATAAAAAAAATAAAAAACTGAAGAAGACAATCAACATACTTCTTTTTCTTTATTTATTCTCTTTTGCGATTGATACAGAAGCAGAATTGTTTTTGTCGGTGTTTGCGATATCAGCGAAAAATGTTTTCAACCACTTTTTATTTATTTTGTCATTCTTCTTGAGTCTCATTTACTAATCTACCCTTTCTGTTTAGAAACTTGTTTCAACAATTTTTTTTCTAAACATTTTTCAAATAAAAAAAGGAAATACATTTTTTCTTTAAATTAAAATTAGTTTTCTATAAATTAAGAATTAGCTTTTAAATAAGTTTAATGCGAGGACTTTTATAAATTACTTCATACGTAAAACTAAATATAGTTTTTAAGTAATTTATTTTATTTTCAATTTTTCTTGTAAAAATGTATTTAAATAGATCCTTAAATCACTTTTCTAAATAGTACTTGATGATTGATGAACCAATATTTTTTAAAATGTAAATCGCTTTTATAGTTTTTAATATCTTTTTCGTAAATAATTTTTAAATGTATACTTTTAAAATTTACATATTTTCATGTACCACATGTTTGTTTTTGTGAAAAAAAAGGAAAAAAGTCGAAAGAAATATAAAAGAGAGAAATTTGATAGAAATATCATTTTCTACTGTTTGTGTGAGAACAAATATACAAGAAGGGAAGAAGAAAAATATATGTTTCGAAATAACTAGAAAACTAGTTCTGAATTTGCATGAAATGAAAGGAAGATTAGGGATAGGAAATATACCCGTACCCGCGAGTAATACTCGAACCCGTCCTGACTTTGACAGGGAATACCTGGTTTGACCGGATACAGGTACGGGTACGGGTAAAACTCGATATATTAAATTGGGTACGGGTACGGGTATGGGTATGTACTTACCTGTCCCGTACCTGTACCCGTACCCATTCTTATTTTTAATTTAATACTCACTTTCAATTTAATTATATTAAAGAATTTTAATATTTTTTATGTATGATTATTTATTATAGTATGAGATAAATAAATAACTTAATTATAATTATAATATAATAAAAAAGAGTACGGGTACGAGTATACTCGATACCCGACGGGGACGGAGATGGGAATGAAAATCACTTACCCAACGGATATGGGGACGGAGATGGATTTGACTTGCGGGGACAAGGACAGGTATTATGAAACCCATACCCGTCCCGCCTCGTTGCCATCCCTAAAGAAGATGTTCCTTTAATGTCTTAAAAACTAAATAAATGATTTTGTTAAAAAAAATAATGGAGTGAATAGTTATTATTTTTAATTAATATAAATTTATCTTCATACACTTTTTTTTTTTAATTTTCTTTAAATGGCTTTTTCACTCCTTCAAACAAGTAGAAAGGAATTTCTTCACCTTTTCCTTCTTAATTCTATTGATCTTAATAAAAGACCTCTTCAATATTTTAAGAATCAGATTGAAACAAGATGCAAGTCTAGAAGCTTAAACTAAATTTTATATTTTTAATAATTTTTTTTGATATAATAGAGTCTAAAAGTAATTGATATAAAAATATAAATCACCCTGACGTGGACGTATATTGCAAGGGCAACATGGAATTTTCAGAAGTCAAGCTTTTCAGGCATGACCAACAATAGCAAAGCAACAAAGCTTTGTTAATGGTGACAATGACCCTTCTCTTCTCTTCTCTTCTCTTCTCTTGCTTTCTTCATTACCACAACCTTCTTCATCACAAGGTTCGTTTGGTCAATAAACATGAAGTCATCATTTCACGTTCTTATAAATATAATATATGGTATATAGTATATGATATGGTTGCTAACTTTTTCCCAGGCAAAAGAAAAGAAACTATACTTTGGAACCCAAATAATGTCTTCCGATTCTTTTCTTCCTCTCCCCGAAAATCCCATCATTGTGAGCATAGTAACCATTTTCATTCTCACTTTCAATTGAATTTGTTATTTGTGATTGTGAGGGTGTTATGTGTATTTGGCAGGTGGGGTTTGGTGGGGTTGGAGTGGATTTTCTGGCAGCAGTGCCATCTTTTCCTAAGCCTGACGCCAAGATCAGAACCACTGAATTCAAGGTTCTTCTTTCTCTAGCTTCCACTCATTCATTTCATAACTTATTACTGCTATAATTTTACTACTAGTATTATGGTAGTTGTTAATTTGTTATCATTATGCTTTTTTAACACATCAAGTTTGTGATTGTGATATTTTTGAGCGTTTTAGAAACTCACATGAATCATCATTCATTAAAATCTCTATCCTGGTTTTAGGTTCTCGGCCTTGGGACACCTTTTGATGTTGACTTTAACCTTAATCAACTTATAGCCACTCACGTTTGCTCCAGTGGCCCACCAGTTTTTTCTTTTGCCACTAAAATAGAATAAATAGTTTGCCTTTGTTTATTTAAAATCTTTTGTTCAACTTTAATCTAATCACAGTGGGGCTAATTTAAATTTAGTCATAATGCTGCTTTTTACTTTATATTATTATATTATGGATAATCATTATCATTCCTACGTGAGTAACACTTTCTATATAAAAAATATTCATAATAAGTTTTCTCTTTAAACTCTCCAAATTGACATCTTTAAAAAAAAATATTTATTAAAACGAATTCTCTAGAATAATGGTAAAGTTATGTGCTAACAAGGGTGATTGATGTTTTTTTGCAACCTTTGTTGTGACAGATCCAAGGTGGTGGAAATACTGGAAATGCTATGACATGTGCTGCCCGTTTGGGCTTAAAGCCAAGAGTAATTTCTAAGGTTTTTTGTTTGCTTTGCATCAGTTCTATGGTACTGTACTTAACCTCTTGGTTGTGGCTAATTTCTTATGATTATGAAATCACTAGGTTTCAAATGACGCTCCAGGTAGGGCTTTGCTGGAGGAACTACAAGCTGAAGGGGTGGATACCTCTTTTTTTGTGGTATGTTTGTGTGTCAAATTGTTTTTTTAGCCTAAACTAAAGAGCTTAGAGTTACAAGCACATGAATATTCTTCCAATTTCCCTCCTACAAATGCAATAAGAAAAAAAAGTAGTAAAATCAGAGGTATTTGTCTTTTAAACCCTGTATATATATATAGAGAGAGAGGAGGGATCCTTTTACTCCAAGAGTAAGTCTACCTAGACTTATTCCGTTCAATAACTCATGTTCTGTATCAAATTTCAATGATCCAACCGTTCAATTTAAAGTTCCTAATACATAGATCATATTTGCAAATTTTGAAAAAATTTAAAAATCATTTGATACATCGTTACATTAATTCGAATCAATGTATAAAATGATTTTATGATTATCTGTCAATTTGAATTAATGAAATGAACTATCAAATGATTTTCAAATTTTCTAAAAATTTGCAGATTTGATCTATCCATTAAGAACTTTAAATTGAACGGTTGGATCGTTTAAATTTGATGTAGAACATGAGTTATTGAACAGAGTAAGTCTAGGTAGACTTATTCCTAGAGTAAAAGGATCCCTCTATATATATATATATATATATATACCTTCTGAGATATAAGTTGATCTTAATCATATAATTGTATATGTGAAAAAATTAATTTTACTTTTAATTTAATATTTGACCATCAATTTTGATTATGTGATTAAGGTTAACTCTTCTAATGCTTTCTGCTTTTATATATTTAGTCTTTGAATCATGATATCTCATGTTTGGTTGCTTAACTAGCTACTTCGTCTTCAAGTATAAGTCCAATCTCTATTTTTTGGGGGTGATATATTCTTTTTCAATTTATTTCCAGGTTTCACAGGAAGGGACTTCACCATTTAGCTACATCATTATTGACAGCCAAACGTATGTGCCATCACAAAACGGTTTTTACACGAAATTAATGCAAGAACATGATGGAAATTCTGTAGAATGTATCTTATGTGATTTATCTTCATATGCAAAATTTCTTGCCTGATAAATTGCCATGCCTAACTTAATGGTTTAGATGACTCCCTGTACCTGAATTGTTTAGGTGTGCAAAATGATTAATCCTACTACTTTGAACATTCAGGAAAACAAGGACATGTATATTTACTGCAGGATACCCTCCAATGGTTCCAGATGATCTTCCATTAGCCAATTTGTTATCTGCATTAGATGGGGCAAGAGTGGTCTATTTTGATGCAAGGATGCCTGATAGTGCTCTTGTCATTGCTCAAGAGGTAATTAATTACATCTTAGTTGTTACCTAGTTTGATTAATGCACACTTCCATATAGAATATTCTCATTAGATTTGTGTTAAGTCAAATTTCTGTGACTGCTATCATTACTTACTCTTAAAGTGGTTGCTAACTTAAATGCTTGTAGCGGTTGAAGGTAACACATAAGCCTCATAATTATTATGATAGAAAAACGTCAAATCCCTTTTCTGTACAAAGTATTGTAAAAGAAAAGAGCCAATTACATATTAAAAAATCATTACTAGATTCACAAATGTTGTCCTTCATGTGATTGCATTTGATATTTGAATAGAAAGCCTTCTGATGTGATTGCATTCACAAATTGGTAATTTAATTATATTTTTGCCCTTTCAGGCATTTCGCCAGAATATATCTATCTTAATTGATGCTGAAAGGCCTAGGGAAGGATTGAACGATCTTCTGAATTTGGCTGATTATGTTGTATGTTCAGAAAAATTTCCACAGGCAAGTAACTCTTACTATCACAAAATAGAAGACTAGAATATCATAAACTTCGGACCTTTGGGGGGACCAGTGAGTTTTACTAATTTCCGGAATTTTTCCCGAGTTTAATTTTTTCTAAAGTTAAATGTTTGAATATTATATTTTACCTAGTATTGTTCTCTCCTCGTTGGTTGAATTGTATTTTGTGATATTTCATCAACATGAATGATTTGCTATTTATGGTTTGTGGCTTTTACAATTTGACAGGCCTGGACAGAGGCATCATCTATTTCAAGAGCACTAGTTTCAATTATTTTAAGATTGCCGAGACTTAAATTTGTGATAGCAACTTTGGGAAAAGATGGCTGCATAATGCTTGAAAAATGCGTGGATGATGGTAAAAATACTTCTTTCTTCTCATTTTTGAGCCTTGTCAAGTTGAATTCATGTTCAAAAATAGGCAGAAACTGTAGTACACTGGTACTAGTATTTGGTGTTAAATAATCTATTTCTTTTCTGCATTTATTAAGTTGCAATTTACTTTCTGGCAGAGGGTTCTAACTTAGAAGAAATGGATGTTGAAAGCTGTTTGATATCATTAAAAGGGAAAATAGATGATAGCACAGCCATGCCAACGTGCCTAGTCTCGGTAATAACTCTAAAGTGAACTCTGATTGTGCAATGTCTTCCAAAGTACTAGTACAAAATCATCACGTACACAAGACTTATTGCCATTAATAGTGACATGTGAATTTGTTTTTATCCGGTGTTACTATAATTAGTCAAACTGGTAGTTGTGGCCTGTAATATATATTTTTTTTGAATAAAAATGGTAGACAAGAGATGACACTCCATGACTATTAAATAAAGAATTAATAGCATGCTAGAGATCCTCACACCAACCACTATCTACTTAGTGATTAATGATTAGTCGAAATTCAATGGTGTCTAACTTGACAAAAAAAAAATTTAAAGGCCCCAACATGCAAGAAATTTAATTTAGGTTAGTATTCTTGGGAGAAGGTAACATTGGTTAACAATTCTTGTATTGGTTTTAGAAGCTGATAAGCATGTCTATTTATACAAACATTGATTAATATAAGTAATAATGACTTGTATTTCTTAATCAAATTGTCTAGGTTTTGAGTATGAAATAGATTATATTGAAAGTAAAATACTCACTTTGTGTATGCTCAAATTTTCTGACAAAGATTAATTACTACTTTTAGGAGAGTATACTTTGCAGTAATAGCATGATTAAAAAAAAATGCCAGTTTATATGTGTAACCGTTTAGACCATTTTTCATAATTCTGATTTAGGGTAAATGATGATTGAACAATGTTTTGTTGCATTAGATTCATGAAAATTTTCACTTGGATTGATCTTTTTTGCTTAATCTTCCCAGTCCATTACAAAGTTTAGAGGCGAAGGGATGGGGTCTGTGTGTGGTAGGTTATATTTTGGGACATCTGAAAAGATTCCACCATCAGAACTTGTTGATACAACCGGTGCTGGGGATGCATTTGTTGGAGCTCTTTTATATGGTACGTGCAACCATTTCATGTTACATATGCACTTGCATGCTGAAATTTTCTGATTTTTCCATTGAACAAATTCTACCCTATTTCACATTGATGAAATTACATTGTTCACTAAAATTCCATTGTGGCCATCACATCTAACTTACATACTACTTTTTTTCTGAATGTTGATCATTCCTTGTTATTTTATTTGCAGCGATCTGTGCCAACTTATCACCAGAGAAAATGTTGCCATTTGCTTCTTATGTGGTAAGAAACATAATAGGGGTAATTTGGATTTATAATCAATATTGGACAATCCATACAAATAGTTGTTACACAAATACATAGCATTAAAGAAAAAACACTTATAAACCAAACCTTTTGTCTTAGTGATGGTAAGATTTGTCGTGGAATACTTGACGAATAGAAGTTATGTTTAACAAATTAGTTTTTAGTTGTCAATTTAAGAATACTAAATGGATCATATCCAATAAAAGAACACTTATATTGTTTCTTATTCTTTTCTATAGGCAATTTACTTGGAAATTTGGAGATAATCATGTGTGTTTGTTAGGTGCTACTTATAAAGTATAAACGTATTTGTTGTTTGTTTTTGATGCTAATTACAGGCAGCTGCCAAGTGTAGAGCCCTTGGAGCTCGAAGTGGTCTTCCCTATCGCACTAATCCTTTACTAAGTAGAGCCCTAAACTGGTCGTCAAAATCCTCAGCGTAGTATGCAAGAAACAAGGTTTCAGCATACAAATTGTGCTTTTGTAATCCACTTTAGTATTAATCATTTAGCCCAAATGTTTGTATTTATGTAGTTCAGACATTTTTTTTATAGAAAATAGTTAAAGAACAATAAAGCTTATTTAGTAAAAAAAAAAAGAAAAATTTAAGTCATTTAAAAATTTTGTTAGATCTATGATCGATTTAAATTTATTATTTCAAATTTAATATATCAAAACCATACATTAGCTATCTTTTTAATAGCTAAATGTGCTGATTTATATATATAAAAAAAATAAATCTTTAAGTTTATTGAAAGAGAAATTTATGATATGTTTAAATATTTTATTACAAAATATATTTTAATTAAATTATCATTATGAAAGTCATTTTATATCTTTAAAGTTTTATTTATATCATATAAACAAGTTATATTTGTTTTTTTTTATATAATTAAGCATACTTATTTTTACTTTATCTTGGTGTTAATTATTTTTTAAAAAAAGTTCTTAATTAGATTTATAGGCCAAGTTAATTTTTTTTATGCATGTCAGGTCATGATTTAAAAAAAAAAAATCTATGACAAATGACGCTTAAGTAATATATTTTCAATTAAAGTTAGATTTAATTCTAGCAAAGTTGAGTTTCACCTAATCTATTTGTACTCTTACTTTTGTTACCTAATTGTAAAAATTGTAAATTGAATTGTATAATTTCAGTGTCATAGATTTGTAGGAAAATGTTAGGAAAATTTTGGCAAATTTTCTTATAATCGTATTTGTAAAATGTGAAATAAATGCATAATAACAACAAACGTAGTTGATAATGGAGTTCAGCCATTTATTCTCACGTATTGGGTTTAGGGTTTAATGCGTACAAATTTCTTATACAAATACGATAACAAAACTAAAAATTGAAATAACCATAATATCAAATGAAACCAATTAATAAATTAAAAAAACTGTAAAGACTAATATCTCAATTCTCAACCAATAAAAATCATAAGAATCAAATCATCAAAAAATTTAGTTGATCCACGCTTAAGCAAGGTCAAGAGTTCAAATCTTGACTTGTGTATGCAGTCGCGTTAAATTTTGGAGCTAGCTATTTCATTTTTCGAAGTGTCTTCAATGTAACGAGGAGATTAGTCACTACTATCAGCGGTAGATACTCCAGGGACGAAAAAAAAATCATCAGAAAATTTAAAAGAAAATAAGTAAAAAAAGAGAGGATAATTCCATAAATATATGAAAAATAAATAGAGAAATGAAATATTTATTTGAAGCAAAATTTGAAAGAAAAGAAAAAAGAAAATGGTAGGTTGAAATTGAAGGAAATCTACATGAATCTGGCGCTAGCAATACATCACTCACTCACAGTCACAAGTCACAAACATGTTCAACCTCTGCACTGTTACATCCAATGCTTCTTCAACCTTCATATTCCGCGTTCCGCTTCTCAACTTCTACAATGTAACTATTTTTCTCTCTCCTCGCTAATTCTCTTATTTCCTATTCCTAATTTTCGCTTTCTCTGTTGATTTACATAGTTTAGGTCAAGAACGCGTCGCTGCAGGGTTACCATGTCCTCCGACCCTCAAAACGCCGTCGTTGTGAGCCCTCTCTCTCTCTCTCTCTCTCTCTCAATCATAATCATTGCCTTGCCACCAAAATTAGAGACTTTATCAATTTAATTTAATATTTACATTATTAATTAACTGTATGTATGTATGTAATGAATGTATGTATGTATATATGTATATATGGATGGATGGATGGATGGATGTATGCAGGTGGGGTGTGGAGGGGTATCCATTGATTTTTTGGCCACCGTTGCTGCTTACCCTAAGCCAGATGACAAAATCAGAAGCACAAGCTTGAAGGTCCATTTTTATTCTTCTTCTTTTAACTTTTCATGAATAATTTCGTGTTGTGTTCACGTTGATGGTGGCTTTTCTCAGGTTCAAGGAGGTGGCAATGCCGGTAATGCCTTAACCTGCCTTGCTCGCTTGGGCTTAAACACCAGGCTCATTTCCAAGGTTGCTTTGCTTTTATTCTTTATTTAAATTAATTAATTAATTGAGAGCTTAATTTCTATGCTATATCTGTATAAAAAAGTCCGATACTGTGAACCAATCAGAAATCATAGTAAGCGTTACTTTTATGTCATTATTATTAAAGTCAATAAAATCAAACTGATATCAAGGGAGTATATTTTTACAACAATTCACACATCTGCTTGACCAACTAAGCTAGACCTCCTTGGTAACAAACAAACTTATTATATATGACCATTTGTTATTAGATGACAGTATAAATACAGTACTTGAGCATTTTATTTTTTAAATATCTGGTAATATTTAACTGCTAAAATCTGATACTGATACCTCTGCGTGTATTTGTTACGCTCATTAGGTTGCTGATGACAGTCAAGGCAGGGGTATATTAGACGAGCTACAAGCTGATGGTGTAGATACATCCTTTATGGTGGTAATTTTTTAAGACTGTTCTCTTTGCAATTTGGAATCTTTATCAAGGCCATTGTATACGAGCAACTTTACAATTCCGTGATGGAATGGTCATTAGCTTCTTTAGCTTTTCACCTGGTTGTGTTCGCTTGTGTGTGTATATACATTTTTTAATTTCAATGCTATTGGTACTCTTTATGTTCTTTTTACACTCCCCACTAACTAATTGTAATTTCCTTAAGTATCCTCAGTTAAATGTGAACAAAAAAATTTAATTTAATTTGTCAAGGTGATGTGGATTTTGCAATTAAAAGAAGTTAGTGGGGGTTGTGAATAGACTATTGAGAGGGAATCTTCCCTAACTATAGTTTTTTAATACTTTTTTTGGTGGGTGTGTTCCCTGTTATTTGCAGGTGTCCAAGGAGGGAACTTCACCATTTACGTATATTATTGTGGACAACCAAACGTAATGGTCATTGGCTTACATATTATTACACAACTTGACTTTTCCACCGAGTATATTCATTATCTAAATTCCAAGAAGTGTGGTGGGAGAAGGGAAGAACAGAAAATGAGTTGGGTAGATCTAGTTAAGATTTTGGTCACTGTCATCTGAATGGTTTTAACATAAAATAGTAGATAATGTGGTCCTTCTATTTCCATTGAAGAAGAAAAGCATAATGAAATGAACTAAAGCTGTAAACTTTGCAGTTTCATGTGTCTATTTGTCTATAACTTGCCTTTTTTGCATTTTCTTGTGTTTATCATATTTGGACAATTCCCCATTACTTGTTTCAACCAACCATCAATGCATGAATGAGACACAAAAATAATTCTTTAGTTGTAAGAATGACACAAAAAACTATGTGCTCTCATTTTCATAATAATATTGAGATTTTCAAGCATTTCTTCCAGGGAGACTAATGATAATTTTAATTGTAACTTGACTCATTTAAGTGTGATTTTTCAGGAAGACTCGTACTTGTATACATACCCCAGGATATCCTCCAATGATACCAGATGACCTGCCAAAATCAAGTTTGTTATCTGCATTGGATGGAGCAAAAATTGCATATTTTGATGGGAGGTTGCCTGATACTGCTCTAGTTGTTGCCAATGAGGTTATCACCTATACAATTTACTTGCAACTATGATCCAAACTATGAGGCCTAGTCATATTCTATAATAAGGAAAATAGAAGTTGAAGCATGCAAAATTTGAAAGAAACATACACTTATTGAATTTTGAAAGGGAGAATTTAGAAAGCAAAAAAATGAGAACTTTTGAGAATAAAACAACTTCTTAGTAGAATGTGTAGTACATAGATTCTGCTTATCATACATATATATACACCCTTCATAGACACGGTGTAGACTATTTCCTAAGATTATAGCAAGTGATGCATCCATGTTGGATATTGCAAGTCCATCAATGAATGAAATCAAACACTTTTTCAATTTTTCTTTTGCAAGTGACTCATTCTTTTTTTCTTTAATCATTGTGTATCCTATGTGCATAATTTTTATTAGCTTTGTGAATGCTGCAAGTAGCTTTTATATAGTTTCCCTTGGTATCTTTTATACCTTCATTTTTTTTTATCTGATTTCTCTGGGTTGTAAAGGAGGTTAGGGGATGGCAAAAGAGAGCTTAATTTGAAGGGAAGTAAACAAAATCTTACATTTTTTCAGTGCAGGCTGTTAGAAAGAATATACCCATATTAATTGATGCAGAAAGGCCGAGGGAAGGGTTGGATGATCTCCTAAAATTAGCTGATTATGTTGTATGCTCAGCAAAGTTTCCAAAAGTAAGTGCATCGTGTTCTCTGAAAGTGCTGTCATAACAATGTATAATATGAGGCTATCTCATCAACCTTGTTTTCATCTTCAGAAATGTTGAATTGATTTTAGCAGTCCAATTTTCTGTTGTCAGTAATCAATAAATGTATTATCTACTATGTAAAAATATATGCTGTCTTAGCATCACAAGAAAAGAAAAAGACTTCTCTTTTTTTGTGTGTCTGGTATTCTGATCTTGTAATATGTCTACTTGCACGTTGACACATGTTATTTCAGTTATCTTATATGTAAGGTATATTCTTTTTGGGATGGGAAAGGGACATTGCTTTCCTGATCCCAATGGTACATATCATTTTCCTTTTCTGGTTGCTATAGATTTTATTTTTTATTTTTTATATTTCATCAACATATCTTTCCATTTATTTACTGAAACCTTATTTTTACTCTATTCTGTGGGGTGTATTTATTTTTAGCATCATTAAATACACATGTAATTAATCTCTTTGATTTGATTAATTACATGTCTTTGAGTGCAGTGTTATTACTCTCTTTGATTTGAGCCTGGATAGACAGCAACCCCCACGAACACTCAAGTTGAAAGGGAGAGTCAATGAACTGCCTCTCTTCTTACTTGTGGATAGTGGGGCAACTCACAATTTTATCTCGAAGCGTTTGGTGGAGGCTATGGGATGGGATTGGCAGTCCACCAAGAGCATGCGTATTTTGATGGGTGATGGTTATACGACTGAAACTCGAGGAGTTTGTCATGGGATCGAAATTGAAGTTGATGGGGAGAAATTTAAGGTGGATGCAGTGTTGTTCGATTTGAAAGATATTGACATGATATTGGGCATGACATGGTTAGCTTCGCTAGGCGAAATGATGGTTGATTGGGGGAAGCAAACGATGAGGATTTCCACAAATCAGGGGACTAAAATGTTGAAAGGGGTGAATTGTGAAGAATCATTAGCAGCATCTCTCCAAGGAATGATTGGAGAAAACGTGGAAATGCAAGACACAAGACTGTCAGAGAAACAGTGTGGGGAGTTAGAAGCAGTATTGAAGAGTTTTGAGGATGTGTTTGCTGAACCAAGAGGTTTGCCGCCACTACGTTCCAAGGAGCATCAAATAATACTAAAGCCAGGACAAGAGCCCATAAACGTCAGGCCATACCGCTACCCTTACCACCAGAAGAATGAAATAGAAAAACAAGTCCAAGAATTGATGGAGATTGGACACATAAGGCACAGCCATAGTGCTTACTCCAGTCCTGTGATTTTGGTCAAAAAGAAAAATAATAAATGGAGGATGTGTGTGGACTATAGGGCTCTCAATAAAGCCACAATTCCGGATAAATTTCCCATTCCTATAATTGAGGAATTATTGGATGAATTACATGGAGCAAGGTTTTTTTCCAAGCTAGACCTCAAATTTGGCTACCATCAAGTTCGAATGAAGGAGGAAGACATCCCTAAGACAGCATTCAGAACCCATGAAGGACATTACGAATATCTCGTAATGCCTTTTGGGCTCATGAACGCCCCATCTACATTTCAAGCGCTAATGAATGAGGTATTTCGCAATCTGCTTAGAAGAGGAGTATTGGTGTTTTTTGATGATATACTCATTTATAATGCAAGTTGGGAGGAACATTTGGCTCAAGTAAGAACAGTTCTGGAAATTTTAAGACAACATAAACTTTATGCAAACAGGGAGAAATGTAGCTTTGCTCAGGAGAGTGTAGAATACTTAGGGCATGTGATATCCGTGCAGGGAGTGGAGGTTGATCCCGCCAAAGTCAAAAGTGTAGGGGAATGGCCGGTTCCAAAGAACGTGAAGGGAGAAAGGGGATTCCTAGGACTTACAGGGTACTATCGTAAGTTCATTAGGAATTATGGGAAAATTGCGAAACCTCTGACAGAATTAACTAAGAAAGAGGGGTTTATGTGGAATGAAAGGGCACAACAGGCATTTGAAGAGTTGAAACAGAAGATTACAACAGCTCCAATTTTAGCTCTGCCCAATTTTGAGAAGGAGTTTGAACTTGAGTGTGACGCGTCAGGGGTGGGCATTGGGGCCATTCTGATGCAAGAACGCATGCCCGTAGCTTTTTTTAGTAAGGCCTTGAGCAGTCGAAATTTAGCAAAATCTGCTTACGAAAAGGAGTTAATGGCAGTGGCTTTATCAATTCAGCACTGGAGACCATATCTGATGGGATGCAAATTTAAAGTTTATTCGGATCAGAGAAGCTTGAAACAGTTACTTCAGCAAAGAATCACCAATGGGAGTCAACAGAACTTGCTGGCTAAATTATTGGGGTATAACTTTAAGATTATCTATAAACCTGGCTTGGAAAATAAAGGGGCGGACGCTTTATCAAGAAGCTTTGAAGAAGGTGAGTTGAAAACCATGGTGTCCATGCCAATCTGGCTCGATTGCCAAAATGTTGTAGGAGAGGTTCACAAGGATGAAAAATGGAAGAGAGTGATTGCAGACTTGCAGCAAGCTAGAGAGGCTCATCCCGGATTTACTTATCAGCATGGTATTTTATTTTTTAAGAACAAAATGGTGATTCCAGCAAAGTCTCCTTGGATTCCCAAATTACTTGATGAGTTTCACTCAACCCCTCAAGGAGGCCACTCCGGATTTTTGAGAACATATAGACGTGTGCCTGCAAATCTATATTGGCAAGGAATGAAGACTGATATCATGAAGTACGTGCAATCTTGTGATATCTGCCAACGTCAAAAGTATACTACTGCTGTCCCAGGAGGATTGTTACAACCGTTGGTCATTCCAGAGAGGATTTGGGAGGATATTTCTCTCGATTTTATCACAGGATTGCCAAGGTCCAAGGGCTTTGAAGCAATATTGGTGGTTGTGGATCGCTTATCCAAATACAGTCATTTTGTTGCTTTGAAACATCCATATACAGCAAAAACCATAGCAGAAGTATTTGTTAAGGAAGTGGTAAGACTTCATGGGGTGCCCACTTCAGTGATTAGTGATAGGGACCCTCTCTTTATGAGTCTTTTTTTGGAAAGAATTTTTCAAGATGCAAGGTACGAAGCTGCTTATGAGTACGGCAAACCACCCGCAAACAGATGGACAAACGGAAGTAACAAACCGTTGTCTAGAGACATATCTCAGATGTTTTATTACTGATCATCCCAAGGGATGGGCTCTATGGCTTCCCTGGGCCGAATATTGGTTTAATACAACTTATCATGTGTCTACGGGAATAACTCCATTTGAAGTTGTGTATGGTCGTACTCCTCCAATGTTAGTGCGAGGGACTCAAGGTGAAATCAAAGTGGAATCTGTGCAGAGGGAAATCAATGAACGTGATGAGGCTCTTAGATAGTTAAAAAAGCACTTGATCAGGGCCCAAGATCGAATGAAGACACAGGCCGATAAGCATAGACAAGATAGGAGTTTTGAGGAAGGTGACATGGTGTTTTTGAAGCTCAAACAGCATAGACAACATTCACTAGCAGCCCGAAAAAGTCCCAAGCTTAGTGCTCGTTATTATGGACCTTTTGAGGTATTGGAGAGGATTGGGGCAGTAGCTTATCGTTTAAAATTACCTCCGGAGTCAAGGATTCACCCTGTGTTTCATGTGTCACTATTAAAAAAGGCAATTGGAGATTACAAGGCAGAAACCACTATTCCTTCTGGTCTGGAAGATGAGAGAGCTGAATTATTGGAGCCTGAAACAGTATTGGCTTCACGTAGCTTGTTGAAAGGGAGAGAACGAACTAACCAATGGCTGGTGAAGTGGAGGGGAAAGGCAGTAGAGGAGGCGTCATGGGAAGATGAATTGACCTTGAGGAGTCAGTTTCCTGAGCTCAGTCTTGAGGACAAGACTAATTTTATAGGAGGGAGTAATGATAAGGCCCAAGATCATCATGGCTCACTAGAACCACTGGCCCATGAAGAAAAAAGGGGCCCAAAACCATGGATTGTGTATGAGCGGAGGAAGAAGAAGAACGCTGACAAGGCATGAGGGTTATTCGAGGTTGTTAGAGGAAAGAGAGAGAATATTGTGGTTTATAGAGAATCACACTTGATGGGCAGGGCATTCGGTTATTTTGTTTTACTATTGTGGATAGAGAACCTTGTTGGTTGTGCTATTAGGAGCTTGGCTCTTGGTAGAGGAGATTTCCCTCTTCTGAGTTTTCCTTTCTTACGAATTCCTTAAATACAATATCCACCATTATATCAAATGCCATTTTCTTATTCATTTCTGGTTTGTTGGTTATTTTGTTTGGTATCTATTATAATTTGTCTTCTAACAGGCTTGGACAGGGGCATCAACTGTTCCACAAGCACTTGTTTCTATGCTTTTAATGTTGCCTAACATAAAATTCGTGATTGTAACTTTGGGGAAAGATGGTTGTATAATGCTGGAGAGAAGTCTTGATGGTATGTATAAATAATAATGGGCATATTAGATATTATCTTGTATTTGTTTTTCATTTAAATAGAGTTTATTTTCTTGTGCCTTTTTTGGCAGCAGGTCCTTCCACTGAAGAAGTGGATATAGACAACTTCTTGGAATCACTGGCGTTAAAAAGGAACAAGACTGTACCCATTCCAACCTGCATATCATCAGTAATGTCAACGAAACCCAGAATTATTTTTCCTCTGTTTTGGTATTATTGAACTCTAACACCAAACTTTATGCCACTGTGGGGTAGACTACGTAGATCAGTTGATGCTGTGGGGCTGTATTAAACACCCAATTTTTTGTAAAAGAAATGACAGTAACACTTTCTAACTCACTCTTTTAAACACCCTCTTATTATTGACTCAAATTTATTGAAAATCACAAATTTATTGACAGTAACTCTTCATAGTTTCTGATAAATTTTATCCAATAATAGAGAATGTATTAGTAAGTGTTTTGCCAACACTCCTTTTAGTATATATATTCCCTTGGTTTTTTAATTTCCTAATATGCCCTTTCACTTATCAACTAGCTACTATTGGTGTTAGAAATAGGCAAAGCATGAAGGATAGGTGGAAGAGTTGTTTTCTTTATATTTGGACTCATAAATCATAATAATTTGTTACCTAATTTTGAGTGCATAGAATAATTAAGCTTCAAGGGAAAATAAGGATATAATTGAATAATTAAAGCATAATTTTATAATATCATGTATATAAACTTAAAGATTAACAATATCTTGATATTTTCTCATGGTCCACTAGTTGCTATTTTGTAAGCTCCTCTGGCAAAACATGGAGCATCATTTCCATTGACATTTTCTATAAAAAAAATCCTAAATGAACTTGTTCATAGTTTAATACACGATGAATTTTCTTAAAAATATTTAAATATTTGTGTCTAAGCGGTGTCATAGAACTGTGTCTGTGTTGGACACACAGACACAGCACTAAAATGGTGTGTCCATAAGGACTTTCTCTACCTCTTCTAATCAGACTATCTTCCTTTTGAGCCAATTTCATATCACTGAACTGAATTGTTGTGTGCAAAATTGACTCGGCAAAAGCTATATCATACTTAAACTAAGCACTGGTTTTTGTTCTTTAAGCATTCACGAGGTGCATATTGTTATCCCACTCTCCAGCATGAACTGGCCTTCTTTTGCAAACTGGTCTGATAATAACGTATACAACTCATTATTTATTTCTAGTCATGTTAACAAGACATTCTAGGGACACCAGAAAACCTTTGCAGCATAGATGACAACATTTAATAGCCCCACATTCATTTTCCAATCCTTGACATGGAAAACAACGAGACTTTTAAACAGCCAAGACAATTTTTACTGTGTTCAATCAGATCAGTTCAAAGGAAATTCGATCAACTTGCATTTAGTATTCTCCGTCATTCTTTTTTTAGTCTTTTGAATTGCATCATTCGACTTCTCTTCTACATATTAATTTCTATTTTTTTCAAAGCCAATAGGTTAATTGTATAACCTGATAACATGAGTATTACAAAGAAGTGAAAGTTTTTTCTTGTCATTCATAGTAACACCAAGTGAGTCGGATCCATGAAGTTCTAGAAACAGGGATTGTAAATTGATAAAATTACAGGCTTATTTAGGCTCTTGTTCAACTTCTTAGTCATTTTTTTCCCGTTTAATTCACCCAGTCAGTGGCAAAATTGAAGGCAGAAGGGATAGGAGAGGTTAGTGGGAAGTTATACGTTGGAACAGCCGAGAGTATTCCACCATCAGAGCTCATTGATACAACTGGTGCTGGGGATGCATTTATTGGAGCTGTTATCTATGGTAATTTCAACAGCTTTGTTCTATCTTTTCCTAATGGTCTTTGAAAGGCCATATATCAAAATTTGCGACTTGCATTAAAACTTCTACATGTCACCATATTTAATATTTCCTTTGTGAATATACGGATGAGATCTGTTTTGTGCTTGATTTGCTTTCAGCTATCTGTGCCAAGTTTACACCAGAGACAATGCTATCCTTCGCTGCTAACGTGGTATGTGGTCTTGAATCCAATTTTTAGAATCAATTCAATCCAAACTGAACTTTTTTTGTGTGTATATATTTAATTTAATCTATGAAAACAGTTTCCTACTCATAATTATATGTTTACGTACTTAATTGTTTATTCATGAATTTATTTATAAGCTTATTAGTTTTGGATTAATTTAAAATAGATTTTATGTATCATGTTTTTCTTTATTATATAAATTATTCTTTTATATATAAAAGTGTTAATTAGAAAAGGTGCTGAAGAGATAATAAAATAAACACAAATACATAAGCCGAATTATCCAAGTCTATTCAAAATGCCTTCAAGTTTTAATAGCATTCGATTGAATCTTGTATTCAAATCGATCAAAATTGACTTCAAGTATATTTATATAATTCAATTGGATAGTTTATTTTTATCTGAAAGTCAATTCAAAAATGAGGGAATGGGTTTGGTAAAGGAACTCATGCATTTTAATGGAATTTCATTTGCAGGCAGGTGCCAAGTGCAGGGATCTTGGAGCACGAAGTGGTCTTCCTTACCGTGCAGACCCACGCTTAGGATCATTTATATTGGAGAAGATAAGTAGTTCAGCTTAACTTAACATGTAATAATACACACCTGCATTCTGTTTTGACAGCTAGTTATGCAAGTATAAATAATAATAATAATAATAATAATAATAGCTTGTAATCTTTCAGATGTACTGATTTTCCAGGGGTTCTGCCTTCTGCATATAAGATGTCTTCAGTAATCAGTGAGATATTAAACTAATTTCATGTTTGTTTAAATAAAAATAAAAAATAAAAACCTAATTACATGTCATGTTTGGTTTCAGAATAAAGAATTATGGATTCAGAATTAATTGATTGAGTTGAATTAACTTTACATTATTTGCTTTTAGGATACAAATATTGGTTAAATTACTTTTGGCTCTGTAGTTTCAGCAACTTTACTTTTTAATTTTTATAGTTCAAATTTTTATGTATATCATTTCTATTTCCTTTTAGTTGTTCTAAATTTTTATAGGAATTAAAATGTAAAATTCATGAAATTATAAAAACAAAGAAAACAAAAATATATATATAGGAATTAAAATTGAATATTTTAAATTATAGAAATTAAAAGGTAAAATATTTAAACAAATTTAAAATACAGAATCGAAATTTTGCAAGGGTGTTACCAGCAAGTCAGTATCTTTTTTTTTTTTGGTGGGTTAGTAAAAAAATTAGAAAAGTAGAAAAAATTATAAGGTCGAAATTGAAGTTAATACTCTGACACTAAAACTATGTATCTATAGCAATAATAAAAAGGGTGATATATTTTTAGTCACTTAAATTTAAGGTAAATTTATTAGTTTTTTAAATTTAAAATTGATCTTTTAAATTTTTATAATTTTAAAAAAATCTTATTTTAATTTTTATATTCAAATTTTGTTAAAAAAATTATTAAATATTGATACATAAAATCTATTTGTTGGTGAAAATATTACATTAAATTTAGCTAGTGTTGTATAATTGTTTCAATTTATTACCTTTGAATGTTAATAGTGTTATGAGGTATTTAAATAAAATTTTAAAAATTATAGGAATTAAAAATATATTTAAAATACAGATAATTTATTTGCAAATCAAAAACATTAAAAATAATACATGTATTATATAGTTGTAAATTAAAGAATGATAAGATAGAGAAAAATCAGAAACATAAATTATCGAAGCTAATAGCTTAGACCGAAGGGTTTTTTTTCTTTCTTTTTCTTCTTTTCCAAGGGCGATAGAAATTAAGTTCATGTAAAAAAATTCTAAAGGAGCAACTATACGTAAGTTAAATTTAACTGATAAAAAAGTTTGGTTAAGAGTAA